TTTTTAACTGACGTTTTGCCCTTAATCGTTTTTACGCTGAAATTTCGTGTCTAATATTCCGTTGGGGATATAAATTCGACTAAAATTTGTTACAGGTTTTTGTTGGAAAAAATAGTTGCTGAGTGCTTGGTGCACTTTTAATCAGGCACAGCAGAATCCGATGTAGTTTTTCGAGCTCTTTCTAATGGTGACGTCAATTTTCTCCAAAATGTCGTCATTTTTCCCTTTGACGTTTTTATGAAGCAGATCATTTTACTGCTTTGAGTTTGATATTTGCGCACAATGACGCTTGTTTGCCGACTTGTGGTGCTCTGCTCGTTCTGCTTATGAAAAGAAACTAGAGATTGAAGTGGTGGCTAGTGAATCATTGAAAATTGTTAAAATTTCTTTTATTTTATTCATTTTATTGTTTGTCAAAACTAAAGGATAATTAGTTTACTGAATTATGTTAGGCGAACTGGCTCCATAGAATCTCGGGGTTTTTTACCAATCCGATTTTTATACAGTTGTTCGTTATTTCTGTGTATCGATTTTATCAATATTCACGTCTGTGTACATCCGGGGTTAATAGTTAAGTTGGAAAAGGATAAATAACTCCAGCGAAAAAGGCACTTTTATTGGGGACCATTAACAGAACGCTGTTGTGAGTAGGCATATTATCCACTTATATAATTTGAAAGAGGACCTTTATAGTAGTAATTATCAATCAGAAAATCTGGCAAGCAAGCGATGCCTGAATTTGACAAAAATATTTTCAAAACTTTTAGATCCGTTAAGTTTTAAGGGAGGATCCATACACCCCATATGTGCCCTCAAACTATATCAGTTTGAAGAGGACACCTGATTACATATATCCTTTAGTTTTTTCGATGAACTGATACCTATCTGCAGAGTTATTAATTAATTAAGTTTAAATTTTAATTCAAATTTCAATGTCCATCGTATTGTAAAAATAATTCGTTACATGTTACTGGAATGTGCGATCGACGTCGCTGCAGAGTTACTTTGAAAAACTGTTTCCTTTATTCCATGTACAATTTCATAGGGAACAACTTTTATTCCGATAGTTTTTATGCGCTATGCTTTGCATACTCAGAACTCGTGCAGTTTGCCCACGTAACGCGACACTTCGCTGATTAAGTTTTTAAAAATTTTTTTTAATAGTAGGGCTGATCTAAATACATTTATAGATATAGTTTTTCATGCTGATTATGAAACTAATGTTAGCTTCATAAAAAAAATGCATGTACACCACCCAAATCCTGCTTGAAGAATTTGAAAAACCGTATTTTGCGCTTTCTAACCAAGAAAGTTTTATAGAACAGATTGAGCAACACCTCATTCGATGCAGAATTTAATTCTCTACCAACTAGCATAATGATTTTCTAATTTGGTCGCTAAGAACGAATTGTACAGTGCTGTACAGTTTCCAAGTTGCTGTATAGTTTCTGAAGCTGCAAATGACTTTAGAAACTTGACTCTTACGTAGGACAATCAAATATACAGAAAATCAGGATTTTTACAAAAATCAAAATGTCTTGGGTATGTTTAATGCCTCAAAATACGTGGACAAAAAAGTGTATCACAGCGTCACGGAGATAAAAAGCTGTTAGTGAGGAAGCAAGGCTCGTAGAAGAAAATTCGTTTCAGAGAAATGTGCGCTGCTAGCTTGGGGATAATCTTCGCTCTAGAAGTAATTGTCTTACTTTCATACAGTCACGGAAAATTAAATATCTACTAACGTCGTCCAAAAAAACGGCTTTTTTTTGTCACGGCCTGTAAAACTTATTTGCTGACCCTGAACTTGAATCGAATTTTCTGATATTCACATCATAAGTAGCGTGAGGCGAACTGCGTTGAATGGCGCAAGACTTAACCTTCTATCACTTTTAGTTTTGAAGAAAAGTGCAAAACACTGTGTCAAATGTGTCACAGCTTCACGCTTGGACAAGCCGCGTGGCAAGATTTTGGAGTGCGTATCCCTGCAACAAGCGTTTTCCGAAACCCCCAGCAATTATTGTCGTATCAATAAGTTTTAATTATAACATAGTGCCTAGAAAGTCCAAAATGGCCTCTACAATTATGAGCAAGGCCGACCTCTCCATCCGATGTCGCTCTCGAATGATAAGCATTTAGCCAACGAAATGATAAGATAACTACAGGTGATTCGGAAAAATAACTGTCATTAGAGAACCACAACAGACAGAGTGGTCGACCTCGCGCAGAATTGTGCAGAACAGTTTCGTCTACCTAGCCTACATTGGCATATGTTACATTTAAAAATCCACCGCAGGTTCGGAATCTGGGGCCCTCATCGCTTTTCATAATTTATTTAGTAAAAACATGAATCTAAATGCATATTTTCGCCAAAACTGGAATGTAATTTAAATCAACTTTTTATACAAAAACATTTATTTGAATTAATTTATTTTAAAAACTGATTTACTTAAGAGAACAGCACACCAAAACATCCGATCATGGACAGGGAGCACCCATTGCCACTATATACTGTAATATATTGAGCAAAAATACTCTATAACAAATTGGTTTTCAAACACATGGATCCGCCGGTCTATGTCAAAGTCTAAACTCGGATTCTGTGCAGTCCGGGATTGTCCCAGGCCACAGTTGAATCAGACACTGGATGCGTCCAATCTCGAATTCTGATAGGACTACACAGAAAACTGCCAATTTTAAATATGGTTTAGCAGAAATTTTCGTTAAGTATATTCTGGATATCCGTTGATTCGTGCTGATTTGAAAAGAGTGTTTGTTAACTCACCGATCAACACTCTCATTTTCTTATATGTGTAAGATCGAATATTATTATTGCAAGGACTAATTTCTGAAAGACCAGCACAACGATCAACTATGATGATGAGCCAACAAACGCTGTTTTCAAATCAGCACGAACCAACGAATATCTAGAATACACGTTAACGAAAATTTCTTCTAAACCTCACTTAAAATTGGCAGTTTTCTGGGTTAGAATCCTGTAAGAATCCTAATTCAACTTTGGTTTGGACCAATCGAAGTTTGTACGCTGACATTTATTAATATCACCGACGAAATTTAGTAAAATTTAGTAAACTGAAAGTCGACCAATACATAATATTCATCACAGTATCCGATGCCATGACGTTCTTTGAGATAATAAAAGTAAACAGCAGATAAGCAAAGATAACATAGAACAAAAAGAATCCTGTGCACTCCTGTCTTCAGAAGCCGATATTTTCCTCCAATCCGTGTGACGAACATCTTTCTTTTGTTCAAAACGGATTTGTGGCATTATTCTCCTAATATTAATAAGCAAATATTTTTTATAATTGACGATATTTCTGCTATGCACTCGCTAAAAGCATATTTTTTCTTCTGCTTTTTCACATATCGGTCTGATTATGATGTTCTCAGGATGTTCGTTATAGGGAATGCAGGAAAACTCAATTTCTAGGGATAGCAGCGCATATAATTCTCTTATTCCAATAAGCTAACACTTACCTCAGTATCACAGAATATATCTTATATATTATTTATTATATATTATATAAATTAATATATATTATATTCGATAGTGTATTTTCCAGAATTGAAACATAAGAAATAAGCTCGTTCGCCCACTGTGCACGAGTCTTCATAAACTTTCAGATTTTCTTTTATTTCCATTGAATTTATAATCGTGTTTTACTACTAGAATAATTTATTTCAAGTTTATCATCTTATCATTCGAAAGATGTTGTATTTTGAAATGTTGATATAAATACATTTCCATGAGATACTAGCAAATAAATTTAGATATTGGAAATTCACGAGGTTTTAATAAAATACATGAGACATTAGTAAGATATCTGAGACATCAGTAAAATACACGGAATAGTGGCACGTCGCACCCCTGTTGATGTTGTAGAAACTTTTACCCGCCCCGCCTTTTTTTTTTAGATTTTAGATATCTCTTATCGCGATATATCAGACAGTGCTGTTTGCATCCCATGACGCTCTTGAGTTTCGGAAAAGCTTATCTGCTAATTTTCTGATGACTGGCTGAGAGTAAAAAAGTATCATTGGTTAACAAAAATGTCGAATTTAGAAAAGAATTGGCGGTTCTCTTTTGTATGTCAGGCAGCCTGACGACGAAGAAAGTAAGACAAAAAAGAAATTTTAAAACGAATTCCATTCCATTGAAAAACTTTAAATAATTTAGTTTCTGTATTACGTTGCATTCTTCTGCCCTCTGTTATTATAATATTATGTCAGAATTCTATAAATATGTTTTGAGTTTGATTTTCATCACATTTTATCAGAAACTAAGTAAGCGCAAAGATGTTCCTCTGTTAGACTGTTCAGTGCGCAGTAGAAACATCAGGTAATCGATCTATTCAGTTTGATAATGCATCTCTCACAAGTAGACTTTGTCTGACTCTACTTACGAAGAAACCTCTCAAGGTGTAACATTCCGCTTTCAATGAATTACACATGGTTCGATAGAGGACAGGGAAGGAGTAAAAAGACTAAATGAATTCGGGCACCTTTCGCTTTCTTCAAAATGTCTAGCCATTTATGTATTTTTACAAGGGCATCAAGTGAAAATTAAAATATTTCTATCTGACGAATGGAACGAGATAAAACGCTGATATTTTTTTCTGTGCCTGTATTTCATATCAACAATATCTAAGGAACGGTGACAGGATCAAGTGTTTTGTAGTAGTGTGTATTGTAGCAGTGTGTATTGTATTTGACACTTGATCCTGTCACCGTTCCTTAGATATTGTTGATATGAAATACAGGCACAGAACAAAATATCAGCGTTTTATCTCGCAATTACAATAATAGGAGAAGCAGTTTGACAAACGATCACAATCTGTCGAATTTTTATCCATACTAAAAAAAAAGTGGAAAACAATACAATTAGAAAAATTGGTATAGTTAGTCTACACTAAATATCAAAGTTTCTATTTTCAAGATCGACTTTATGAAACTTTCAATGAATATACAAAAAACTTGATTTATGCTATGACAATAATTTCACTCATGGCAAAACACTTTTTTGTACTGAAAGTTATTATATCAAATGTAATTTTATGGATATCCTCCATTTCCAATGGAATTTGTGCTAAATATGGTGTCAATGTCACCGTCATCTTATACTTCTTCTCACCATTTCTCCATCCACGTATTTTTACTTGCAACTCGCTGGTACGTGGTGTACAAGCTGTAAATGACTCAACTGTAAATATACAACTGTTGTTATTCATTGTAATTGACATTGGTTCCCAGCTACTAGTATTCTGTGCTATAAACGCTTGTCCAACTGCACTACTGTCGAGGAAAGCATTTTGATAATGATAACTGGGATTCTCCTGATCCCAACTTTCTGCTCGTGATCGAGAAACTAGTGTGAGATGACTCCATTTCAGTGAGTAGTAGCCGGCAGGAACTTCTCCTTCGGATATAACAATAGCACCATTAGGAAGATCATTAAGAAAGGACGTTCGGTCCGGGGTTCGGTAAACCGGCAGATGGAAAGAGGCGGACCGGAATATTTTTTCGACGAAATGCATTTTCGAATTCGATCACAAACGCCGAGAGAGGTCGACAAAGGGCGTGTTAATCGGACGTCTTTTATCAATGTCCTCTTGGGGATATCATTAAGAAACTGGATAATTTTTCGACTTTTACCTACAAATGAGAAACAATGCATATTTACTTATCAAAAAACTGAGTAAATTCGGCTGAGTTTACGAGACCACAGACGTCCTGTAAGTCATATGGCATTGCTCTTCCTTTCTCTCTCCAGGAAAAAAGAGAGGGAGTGTTGCGTTGGCAGTACACAAAAGCTTTGTGACCAGCTTCAATTCCTACCGAGAAATTCTCCTGCCCTATCTTTGCGTCATACTATCTCGATTCTCCGTGTACAATGATTCGAAATGGCAAGCTATGTACGAGAATAATGATAAAAGTCAAGCAGAGAAGTGTTTCTTACCTAATAAGGGTTCACTGTTTGCAGCTGTGGTGGTGGCTAGGTCGTTTTGCTGCAATTGTTCCATAACTTTATCGTGTAGAACAACTGCATTCTGCAAACATTGTGCTTGTTCGTGTACATCTTTTCGTCGATACTTCATTTGGCACAGATCACATTTAATTTCAATTTGATCACATTCTGCTTCATGTTGATCTAAATCTTTCTTTAACATTGAAATTTTACAACCATGACAATTTACTTGTTGATAATTACATTCTTTAAGTTCATGTTGTTTCAATGCATCGTAGGGCAGAACGTCTGTGCAACCGTTAGCTTTATTGTGACAAAAAATTCTTAATTCGGACAACATGTCGTTAAGTAACGGGGGCACACGGTCGTCTTTATAATGATGATTCATTGGGCATGTTTTAGGATGTCTTTTGAACCAATGGTCGAGACATTCTTTGCAAAACGCATTTTTACAGGTATTACATGTTTGTGGCTTCCAAAGAATATCTTTACAGATAGAACAGGTTACATGTTTCATTGGTGTAGTACCATAAGTTTCAATACGTTCAGTAGAAAGACCCATTTTTCTGATGACTAGTAAGTACGTAAGCTAGCTTTTTATATACGGAAAAGTATTGAGTCATTTGCGATGATGATTGTATGTAAGTGAACAGAACAGAACAGAACAGAACAGAAGAATAATAATTTCGTCACTGCCAATAAGTAAAAAAGTCATTCATTCTGTTCAGAGAAAATAAAATGAAAATAAGAACGACAATAATTATAAAAGATGAGAAACAGAAAATAGTTCGATTTTTCTGTTTAAGTCTTAATTTAAAATGACTCATCTGACAACAACTCCTCATGTTAGTCTGTGCACATTACTGAAGAAACAAAAATTTCCCGGGTTAAAATAAGCTGTCATGGCAGGAACATTTTATCGGAGAAGGTGATCAGATAGTAGGTATCCAAATAACTTCCTCTTTAAGTGCAGCTAGCCAGTCTTTTCGGTTTTACGTATAGCCCGATGGTATAGCTAGAGGTGTTTTTATTATTCTTGACCAACAACCACATCCAATATTCGAGCGCAACGGCGATAATCTAACAACTATTAATCTCGCCGAATCTTTATGTGGTTTTCAACGTTTAATTACATTACTGGATGGACATAAAATTCTGATTCATCATCCATCAGCCAAGCTCATTGTTCCTAATTTGTATCGTTGTTTAAAAGGTCACGATATGCCAGGTCGACTGACGCATGAACTAGGTCATTTAATTATTCACTTTAATGTGGAATTTCCAAGAGAAAATTTCACCGAAAACCAAGTCCAAATCAAAGTTAGTATTTGTATACGACAACGAATCAGCTGTCTATTTATTGCTTTTTCTGTTTTTTTGTGGCAATTACAAGCCATTCTTCCTCCTAAGCACTATATGACAATGAATGCTGGAGAAAATGTAGAGGAAGTTCAAATAGAGGATTGTGAATCACCCCCAAAATATAATCGTTTTCCAGATGGTGATGAACATTCTCATTCTGACCACATTGAATGTCAAACTCAGTAGTCAGAAGACTTATCTGTATGTGTGGATGTCATAATCGATGATGTTTTTAAGAACAAATATGCAACAAACAGGGTATCCGCTAACAGTTACAGTACTGCTGTATTTAAATTTAAACTTCTACCATATCTGTTGTATTTCATACCCATTTTAATGAAATAAAAGAATTTAAAAAGGAAATTACTTTGCTTAGCCGCAGTATCTGTTTATGCGGCATCAGATGTAGCAAGTTTTTCTGCATCCAACCACTTCAGATCGGTCTTTTTCAAAATGTTTCCTTCTATTAAACTATCAGTCGAATTCGATTAAGAAATTCACACATTTCTTTTGGGCTTTTTATTCTCTTGAGTTCTTGAGTTTAGTTTAGGATCTTACAAAACGGTTGACTGTCTGTCTGTGTGTGTGCGTGAGGGTCAAACCAAGTCATCAACAAAAAAGTTTTAGCCAATTATCATCCATAGGCAAAATTGGCAGGCAAGTTATTCTGACCATGAAAACAAAAGCCATCTACGTTTTACCAAATGTGTGAATGATTTCTTCTGACCACCATCTTACCTTTATATATGAGTCAAGATATTCGTGTAGCTAATGTATTACAAACCATGAGGAACGAAAGAAAAATTTTTTATATTAGTCTTTCACTGCACATTACCGTGTGTTGATGCACAATAAAAATAAATTATTCTACCATCGAAATTTAAACGGTAAAAGAATAAAATAATCATGTTTTTGAATGATTTTCCAACAGAAATATTAATCAAATATTCAGACATTTATCATTTATTGATCTCAGTTATTGTGCTAATGTTTGCCAAAGATGGAATTCAATTATTATTGATTATAATTATTTGACTACGTTTAATATTGAACAGAAGATGAAAATTCCTCATAAAGAATATCAAAATGAATCAAATTTTCGTAGAAAATCGAAACGGCACCATATGTCACGTCGTCATACATATGCCACTTGGATTTAAGAGAAAAATTGTGCTTTTACAGTTGAGACATTTTATTTCCTGAAATTTGAAGAAAGCTCTCGTGAGGGACTCCGAAGTCCGATTCTGAACAACTTTTCTACCCCGAGTTTTTTTGCTCAAAAATGTCTGATTGAGTGAAAGACAGGTAATATGAAAAAACTCTTCTCTCGGCCGACAACCAGCGAACTTCTCAAGTCTTGAATGTTTTCCTCAACCTCTTCCAGTTTTCCAATCATCCGTCAGAAATCCAAAATGAATGAGGGCAGAATTGACCAAGAACTTTTCTCAAACCTGCATATAGGTATTGCCCTTCTACATAAAGTAGCGGAGGTACCAACAGATCCCAATCATGACTCAAAATTAATTTTACTCTAGCTCCTTAACGACTTAACCTTTCTACACTGGACTCGCAATAAAATAAAGCCGAATGATTAAGAAGCTAGGGCAAAAATTTATTTTCAGCGCTGAGCTTAGAAATAAGGATAATTTTTCCTGCCACTCTATAACATAGTTTTAAAACTTAGCTTTGTACCTCATAGATGAGGGAGTAACAAGAAAAAACGAAAATTTCCAGTACCATTTAAACCAATACCTTGGAGGTGTATTGGTATTGGTACATGTTGAATATCGGTATGGAACATTGTAGACTGTGAGAACTCGGTACATTGAAAAACTTATCAGCACGCATTTTCAAGAAACATGCGGTTAAAAAGATATTTTAATGCATTTGGATTTTTAAATGAATTTTATTTTGTTAAAAAATCAGCTGAGAAGTATGGTGCAGTTTAGATAAGAATACTGTAATAAAAAAGTAACGTCCTGTGCAAAGTAGATTGTGGGTCGGACTCGTGGTTCAAAAGCCGTGTGGTATGAGTTTCATTACAGTTCCTGTCAATCTTAACTTACTTTTATTCACACGTATGCACATTACATCCAAAAACTATTGTCAATTATTCTCACGTGTGGACAAGCATTTATTCAAGGTATCTGAGCTTTCAAGCGAGGGTGCAGCAGCATGAGAGTGAGTTACGACGCGACATTTCATATTCATTCAGAATTTTTTAATGTTCTCATAGCTCTTATTATCTGCAGTTCTCACAGTTTGTAATATTCTGTATGATAGGCGTTCAACTGACATAAAAGAGCAGATAAATTGTGTATGCCATGCATGACCTCTCGTGTCTCCTCTATTTGGAAATGCTAAGTACTTTCGGCAAACCAGACAAAAATAGGGGCGGGGTTCGCACCCTCCCACGCATGCTCTTCCATCCGCTACGTTATCACGTGCTGACTTTCAGACTACTGGTGACTTTGAAAAAATATTTGCTGAACCGAGACCAAAATAGTTTGGTTCCGCAGACCTGTAGATTCTACAGATTCATCCGTGATTCTACGGATTCTTTAATAAGTACAAATTTTTTCAAATACTGTATTTTAGACTGACTGTTTTCTTTGGAAAAAAGCATCTCTCGCTCTTTTGTCGACATTTTGCACTAATGATGTGAATTTTTGTAATGTAAGAAAAGTACTTTTTACTCTGAACGTTTTTTGGAAGGCAATGTTCACTTGTATGAGCGAATAGTTTATACAAATTCATTCTTTTCTCTTCTTCGTTAGAATAGTTTATATAATTTTTCTTCGTCGTGCTTAGAACTACTCCTGAATAGTTCATATAATTTTATTTTTCTCCTCCGTTCTTCATCGTTCTAGTTGTAATTAAAAATGTGATATATATACACAGTGTGTTATAGCTAGCAGTTATATATTCTCTTATTTCTTATTTATATACTACTGCTCTTCCAACCAATTATGATTTTCAAACAAAATGGCAAATGAAAAATACAAACACACTTTCCAAAAGTGAAATACAGTTTTCGATTCTTTCTTGTTTAACGTAATGATGAGTCAGAAAACAAGAAAAAAAATACAAAAAATATACAAAGAAAAAGACTAGCATTTTTTTAAGCATAGCCATTTCAGGTATAGAGAAAATAATCTACTTTTGATTAGGCATGCACTAGTACAATATATTGGGTCCCAATAATATTGGTCATCCAATATATTGGGTTTTCATGGTATTATTGGGTATTGGATCACTTGAGTTCGGCCTACTTTTACAGTACATGCTTTATATCCCGTTTTGAATAAAAAAATAACCCAATTAGGCATGCATCGATTAATAATCAATATTAGGGCATTCAGCAAAGTCATTTCAATTCACTTATAAAAAAGCTCCTAGATCTGCCGAATGCCTCATTTTGTAGGAAAATGTTTCCTCTACCAAACTGAAGTGCTACACAAATTTTAATGTTATATATAGAGAAAATACAATAAATCGAAACGCACTATAATCATAGGAAAATAATCAACAGTGGCTTTTTTCGCAATTTTGCTTAGTTTTGGATACTTATATTTCTGTCGCAGATAATACTAATATGCCTTTTGCGCTTCAGTTTGGTAGAATAAACATTTTTCTACAAAATGAGGCATTCGGCAGCTCTAAGTGCTTTTTTATAACTGATTCGGAACGACTTTGCTGGATGCCCTAACATCGATTGTTAATCGATGCCTAATTCCGATCGGGATATGCTTCCTCACGTTTTTATGAAGGTAAATGATATTAACGTTAAAAAGTTATAATCCAGTGTATTGTGGAACCCAGTACTATCCAATATTATTGGTCCCAATATATTGGGTATACAATAATATAGGAACCCAATATTATTGGATAACCAATAATGTTGTACAATATCTTCAATAATGATTGATATTGGTGCATGCCTACTTTTGATCTGCAGTAAACCAGAGCACTTCGTGAAAAAACGCGCTTTCAAAGTGATTGCAAAGAGAGCATTTTTAAAACTGTATAGTAGAAAGATGTTTTTGAAGTGACTCAAGAGAAAACACTGTGACAAACAGTGTGACATGAAGCATTTTTTTGAACAGACACTTTTTAAAGTCATGCTGACAAGTCATTCGTCTCTTTTATTTTGCTATTACTACTAGTATATATGTAACGCTGATTTTCTTCGAAATTTATCTTTTGAACGACTATACAAGTCATCGAAGCTTGTCTCAAAGTAATCTTAGCCTATGGATTAGTATTAGTGATAGTATCAGGCTTTTGAGACTGGTACTAAAAATAGTTCCATGGTTCAAACGAACCAGAAATTAATAAAATTAGAAAATCATATTTATAAATTCAAAATCAAACTATAATGAAATTCGACAAGTGTCGTTCGAAAAAGTGGCCTAGAAAAGAGCACTTTCAAAAGCGCTCTTTTGTGGCGCTGATCCTATTTGCAGCGGTCTTTATTTGATTTACTTTTCAAGTGACCTCTGGGCAGCGCTTTGCAAGTGGTTTTCTTTAAAGCACTTTTCAAAGTGTTCTCCAGTCAAACATTTCAAAAGCGCGACAAAACCAGACCGCTACAAATAGGATCAGCACCACCAGAGAGCCCTTTCTTTTGTACAGTGTAGTTCAGATAATATATGGGCCCTATTGCTGTAACTCTCAATTTAGTTTTAAATCAAGATCTATACCTTTCAAGAAATGTAACATTTTTCTTACGCATCTGTATTCTTAAAGTTAGTTTTTTGTTTATAACTGTGTTTACCAGTCTATTATGAACCAACCCTTTTTGCAACAGCCCAAGGGCTTAACAATACATGGAAAGCCAAAAAGAAAAAAAAGGACGTCAAGATATTTTGATATCTTTTGAGGGAAGGAGAGATAAGGTGTGAGAGTGAGCAAGAACACAACATTTCTTTCGTTGTCGTGGTTAGGTGACGCACCTCTCTGTGCTGTTCCTTCGAGCGGAGAAAGTTTCCTGCTTTAAGAAATTTCTAAAAATATTTCATTTCTCTTACACTAAAATTCTCGTGGAATCAAGTGAAAGTCTTATGTGAATAGCTAAGCAAAAATACAATTCTTGGGGTGAATACAATTCTATCTGCTCTTTAAACGAGAATTCTAGTGTGAATGGCTAAAATGATCGTGAAAAATTAAAATTCCTCTGAAGAATCAAGGTACTACCTCCTCTATACTCTAACATTCTCGTGTAATCAAGTAACATTCTTGTGTGGGGAAAGTAAAGTTCTCATGTTCTCGGCCATCCCTCTTATTTCCAACTTAGTTCTCGGCCATCCCTCTTATTTCCAACTTTTTACTGTTGCTGTTATTATGAATCTCCGTGTCCTAATCTCAAAAGCATTGACCGACCTTCTAAGATGGAGTTCTGTCTTTGGCTTTTTTGTGCTTTCTTTTCCCGTCTCTGAAACTAAAGAAGACAAGTTATAATTGATAATACATTTAAGCTTTTTATTTTAGCTCATTAATTATTTTCGCAACTTTATTTCAAAATATACAAAGCAACATTTTAACAACGTCTAATTATTTATTAGTTTCAGCGAACCATCACTTTGTGTTTAATATGATTTAAATTCATTTTTGCTTGATTCAATTCATGTCTCAATGAACGACATTCATTTTCAGCCTGATTTCGAAGCTGAAGATACACATATAAACAAAAATATTGCATGAAATCATTACAAAGTTTGTGAATTTTATATACCTTAATATCCGTTGTCAATCTTAATTTTGCTTGATCAACCAGATATCTCACATCTTGAATATCGTGTTGTATTTTTGCACGTTCCACATGAATACTCTAAAATATCGTATGGAACAACGATTGTTTAGACCTATTAAAACAAGAAAATTCAACAAACCCCGATTTCCGCTTCCTTCAAGAAACCTGTTTGTGCTGCATGCTTGGATTCTTGATCCATGTTGATAATTGTTTTATTTTGTGTTTGACTCAAATCAGTTTGTAAGTGATGAATACGTCCTTCTAGTGGTGGCATCTTTTTTTTCTCGTTGAAGTACCTCTTTTTCCACATAGCACGGGCTAGCAGATAATACAAAAATTCTTTTTATTAGAAAACTATGATATAACATTGACAGTTCATGAGTAGGTGTGGGACAGTTCTAGTTCCTATAGTTCCTAAGAACTGGTCACTAGTTCAATTCTTATTGAACGCGAAACGGGTACCAGTTCTTTTCAAAAGAACGGAAACTGGTTACTAGTTCTTTTCAAGAATTCAAAGTAAAATAAAACCGATTTAGCTAGCTATATTGACTTGGTTTAGTCAACTAAACGCACTATCTACCCCTGGCACACTACACAAAGTCAATGTAACTAGGTTCACCGGTTTTATTTTATTTTTAATTTTGAAAAGAAGTGGTACCAGTTTCCGTTCTTTTGAAAAGAACTGAACTAGTGGCCAGTTCCGATCAAAAGAACTGAACTGGAACTGTTCCACTCTTATTCATGAGGACATGAGAAAAATGTACGTATTATACTGAAAAATCACCTTTCAAATTAAATCGATTCATTAGATTTTTCATATCTAGCTACTCATGCACCCAAATTTTAGATCTTAAAATCGTTTTATTCTCGATTTTTAAGAATCATTAAAATGGTGCGATAGCAGAAATTTTACTGAAGGAGAGAATCAAATCAAGTTTTAGAAATAATAGCTTTTAATTTTTTTGTTTTCAAACCCTGCTTCTGATTAGCTCAGATTTAATGAGGAGAGCAAGCGCTTTAAAACGAAAAACTTCGACATCATTTTTTCACATTTTCGTAACATCACCACGGAATATTATTGAAGTTAATGTACACATATGAACGGGATATGAATATTTTTGAACTGAACAGCGTTTTACATGTACAAATGCTCTCGCATATTGTCTCACTAGGAGACTCATCATGCTTACCTTCTTTCCGCCGTAATGATATTCGATTATGAACACTTCTTAATCGTCTAATAGATTCTTCGCGAAGTTTTTCCAATTCATCTCGTCTTGAACGCAATTCAAATAAACGTTTTTTTAACACTTCAGCTAAAAAAACATAGTTTAACAGTTTTATGCTAATTTTCCGAAGATTGATTGCAAAAATAACCATATTCTTCAAGCCTATGGAGAACTCGAAAAAGTAAAACGAAAAATAGTTCGTTATTTGCCCGATATAAAAAATGGCATTTAATGTTCCATGAGTTCTTCTATTCTTTAGAAAACTTACATGAATTTTCTTAAAAATCAAAGAACTCAATATGGGATTTAAGAGCTCTTTAAGAATAACACACAGTGGGCAACCATGTGGACATTAGGTGAAAAAACGAAAGTGGACTTGTGGCAAATTTAAATAGCAGAACATATACTTGGGCAAACGCTCTATCTTTCTGTCCTTGAAAGTTTTTTTCTAGGTGTCATAATTAGTGAGAAATGAGTGAATCAAATTTTTGTCGGAAAACAGAGTGATAAAGAAAAAAAAATTATTTTTGTCGAAACAAAGTACAGTTCTCTATGTGAGATAAACTAAGAACTCGTTTTTTCTGCTACTGTGCTTACAATTTTCTAATTGTTGTTTCTTTTGCCGCTCGAGTACTGCTTGTTGTTGTCGTTGTTCATCTAATTCTCGTCGCTTTCGGTCTTCTTCTTGTTTACGAATTTGTCTTACATGCTCAGCTCTAAAAGAACAGACACTGCATCAACTACTTAAACGAAGCAAGTACTTAGAATGTTAATCTAAAGTAAGTGTTAAGGCTCCTCTGCATCAAAAACATGGATTTTTCAAAAAGCGCATGATGTAATAGCTCAAAATCTCTTCTTCTAATCGCACTAAAAATTTTGATTATTAAAGACAAGTTCATACAAGGAATTTTTTGCAAATTTTCTAGAAGTCGTATAACAAAAAATGAGTAGCCTATTATCGCCTCCTACTGGTTGGGGTACTGGAGTGATCATTTGTAGAAATGTTATAGAGAAATACGAAACATCGAATCCAAAAACCTTTTCAGACGTTATTGTGGTAGATCCTATAAGCTGTAAATTGATAAAATAGAAATTTCTCCCATTGCTCCATCATCAAGATATATGACTTACAAAATCGAATTCCAGCAGCTCTGTTGAGATCCCTATGGGTGGTGCTACGGGGTTGACACTCACGGCAACGGCGCACAAAAAATGAATTTTTTTATTCAATTTTTCATGTTTTGTTATTCAGATGCTTGTGAGGAGGATTTACAAATGGTTTTTGATTTTGAATATCTATCAAAAAAATACAACTGTAAACATTGATTATGCAAGTTAGATGAATGCGATCTTCTTCATCTATACTTGTCTCCGATAGCGATCTCTTATCAATGTCGTGGCCAGAAGATGGGAATGTACACCACCCTGCTTTTGGAAAAAAATTTCTCTTTAACAATCTCTTTTCTCCCAAGAATTGCTCGGGTTTGGAAACCAATCTAACCAATATTCAACGACAACATGCTTTCTTCCACTTTGTCTCCTAAAATAGTTGAGAGCAAAATCTGTCTTCCACTTTCCTTCAATGAGAAAAAAAGCTCAAATTGATATCACCATTATCATATCATATAGTTATCGTGTTGAAATTATGATGGTAGATGATGTTGTATTCTCCCACTTGTACGGTTTTCTCAAAAAAAAATTTACATCGATTCTGCTGTTTGCTCTTGCCACGTCACTGTCTGTTATCGTGATGACGATTCTGTTTACTTTGTCATTGGTTTTCGAATCCTTACCGTTTCTTATGTGTGTTTTACGTCAGAATAATGAGAGTCGAAACTATGACCGAATATTAATGTAAACTATGTTTATGGAAATACGCGAATGCGCGTAGAATAAATAGCTTTTGTCACTAGACTAGGTTCCGTTATTTTACTTTTCTTCATCTGGACACATTGTGTAAATAGGTAAGTTGAGTTAGAACTATCGATAGATGCGTATGAATTAAATCAAACAAAAGTTACAGGAACATAGAGTCATTCAATTACTACTTGATGTTAGTAAAGTGGACATGTCAGATCGACTTGAAATATTTTGTTAGAAACTCGCGTCTTCAGTTGTTAAGACAAGGGGAAAGCACTTACTTTGACAAAGCATCATTTGCATCTAAAATGAAAACATTGGATAACTATTGGTAAACTATTATAAAAGAAACAGCACCCTTGATTGTTTTTTGAATATCTCATACTTCAGAATGCGCTTAGTTAAGCATGCCTTACACGCTCTACTATCAAAACACCGCAGAAATTATACTGTTTGTTTTTCATATGTGGCTCCCTTACTGGTTTCACATTTTTAAACAAATGTTGACACAAAATTAAATATGATCGATTTCTTATAATTCATCCATATGTGAGATTACCACTGATCACCAGCTACCGTTTGTTGAACCTGTCGATAATTCGATGCGCACAACAAAACCATGAAAAATCATGAGCTCGATTACTCCTCATCCTAAAAAGGATACTTTGGACTGTCTACCTATGCAAAAGAATGAAATTATTCTTTCTTGGAACTTCTTAGATATGACTTTGTCTTCTAAACATCACCTACCTAGGTAAACGATTTTCGAAATTTGTGATTTCAACGAAAAGGTGTGTAAAATTCTACTCTTTACAAAACACTGAAATCCCTAGCTTCATGTTATTCAAAAAACAATCGAGAGTACTGCTATTTTTCATTAAGAGTCGTTTTCATAAACAGTTTACCTGATTCTCCTGTTTGCGTATGTTTAGTCCAACTTCTACGCTGTTGGTTGTAATTGTTCGTTGGATGGTGAATAGTAGACATATCATTATTAAAACCTGGACGTATGGATAATTGATCGTGAGAAGCGTAGGTTAGTCTACCCGGCGTATGTTGAATTGGATTGTCAGACTGATAAGTAATGGAACTCAGCGATGAAAAAACGGACGGTGTTTGCGTATAATCTTCATGACGACCTTCCAAAAGAAAGACCTAAATTAGAAAATCACTGAATTCTTATTTGATCATTAGTACGTAGAACTAGAACTCACTTCTGAAGCATATGTCTAAAAAAGAAGAGAATTCAACTATTTTTAAAATATTTTTCTATGATTAACAAGTACCTGAGGGGGACGATAATTTTTCACTTTTAACTCGATTTCTTGATGAGGTTTTACCTAAAACAGGATAAAATAAGTAACGTAATGCTATTTTATAAGTTAATTTTCTCACTCTTGTCAAACATCTTCCAACACTTTTCAGAAAAATAAAATGTACTGGTAGAAGCTCTTCATTTCTGCACAGCTGTTTAATTTGTTGTCTCAAATCGTGAATATTCATACTTTGTGGTACACTAAAAGAAACAGCCTAAACTCATATTTTATAACCAAGAAAATGTTTACTATACACTTACTGAACAAATCCAACTGATATGGCGTCGCCAATAGCATCGTTCTGCGCCAAAAGTTGACGATCTTTCCAAACAGATTTTGGAATAACGTAGACATGCAAATCAACTAACTATAAAAGAGAAATATCACGAAGTTAAGTGTGGAAAACATCACTGCGATAGTACAGATGGCAGGCTTTATAGGTATATTGTCCGTTGCATAATTCAAAGGTATTATGTTCGCATCTCGATCCCGACAATATATGCAATAGCCATGTGCAAGTTATTCCTAGCTTACTGCTTCGACTCACTCGTCCGATAGCATACTCATTGTACTGGGACGTACGACACAGTTCCTCTGATTTGTTGGGAAGGTGGTACGTGGTTAGTGAGTGTATTTGGGAAGTTCAAGTAATTGAACTAAAGAATTCTGCGTCAGGCTAACCTTCTATCTAGGACTGTAGTTGACGACTAGTAACGATAATGCCAGAAGCCTTTCAACTATAGGGAAGATGGCAGACTATTAAAATTGACACTTGTTAGTACCCTCCACCAGTAGGGGTAGCCGCAAGACGGGATGTTTTTCTTTCTATAACAGTACCTGTGATGAATCGGGTCGATCCGTTGATATTCTACCACTAGCAAAACGTTCGATTTGCAAATAAGTCTTTTCACCTTCCAATCGAGATTGCATTGAATTATATTAGTAATAAAACTGTTTAATCTGGAAACAGCGAAATAGTAGTTTAATAATTTTTCTTGCATTGCAGAAAAGGCATCTTAAATTTAGATACGTCGGTCGTACTACGAATCAGTGCATTGTGTCCATCTTACAATGAGATTACGCATCTATAGTCACCCATCTTTTTCAGCGGCAGTTTAATCTTGAGAGAGTTTCATAGTCCTAAATGGCAGAACCACATGGCTCTTTCCAAATTGAGACCACTTTCTTGCACTCACTCTCACTCTCTGCTTCCCGCCCTCTGATGTTGTCTGATGTCAACTAAGGCTTAAAGACAATTAAAATATTTTATCAAAAAAGTGATTTCAATTCGGAAACCTCGAACTGCATAGTTGTCATGTGACAGTAGCTCACCAGATTAATGAGTGTATGAAAGAGACAAAAAAAAGTTTTTGAAAGTTATCGCGTTTGTTATAATCTTTATTTTCATGAAAAAGAGAAAAAATCCATACAAATAAAATCGTGATTCAACGGATTACACTATATTGTTTGAAAGAAGTCTTTGGAAAGCCGAAAACAGACAAATCTACTACAAAGAGGCAGTTTTCTCCGTCAGTTATGTGATTAAGATGGATTAAACGTTTCACAAGAATAAGCATTTTAGATAAAAAAGAGGTAAGAAAATTAAAGAATGAGAACGATAGAATAAGATACGGTTTTTAGCGTGCAATTTAGACAGCGACCTCATTCGCCTTTAGTGAATATCTTGGAATAATGAAGACTACAATAGTCCTTCACTACATTCGATTGATAGCACGGAGAAGAAAATGTCTTTCAATCTGTTCATATTATATTACGGTAATTACTCGGTATGGCCTAGAAACTGTACTATCGAAATGATATCCAGATACAAAGTTTTGAGATTTTGTTCTCTCATAGTTTTTCAACGAATGAACGGCTACAGATGCGTGACATGTAGAATCTTATGGAGGAACTTTTCAATAAATTGAAAAGTCTCCGGGCTCTGTGTGTTTTTTTGTTTGGTAAATACAAAGCAAATCCGAAGTACTTTTCTCACTTTTATTTCAAAAAAAAAGTAGTATATCATAAAAAGCGTGTTTTATATTTGGTTTGTGATTTTTAAACAAAAAATCACACCGAATCCGAAGACTTTTCAATTTATTGAAAAGTTGCTCCATAAGATTCTACATGTGACGCATCTGTAGCCGTTCATTTGTTGAAAACATATGAGAAGAACAAAATCTCAAAACTTTATATCGGAGTTTCACTTTGATAGTAGAATTTCCTGGCCGCGCCGTACTAATACTATAGCTTCTTTGCTTGCCATACGTAAAACTGCAAAAGTGTTGAAAAAATCCACTTTTTAAGAATTTATATAATACGGATTATTTTGCCACTTTTCTATTTGTGAGAACTTTCAAGAGAAGATTTTCCAAATATTAAAATAGGTCCCTCATATAATTATAATCATATTCGAACATATGTCAATAAATTTTATAATATTTTATGAGCTCTTGAAAGCACGCTCAAAATGTAAATAATTAATGATCTTTCTGATTGAATTCTGATTATTGCACAGAGAAGTTGATTTTAGTTACCGATATCCTAATAAAGTATATTTTCTTCTGTACCTCAGTCATTGTTAATAATAAAACAAATCAGTTACCTTGAAAAAACGTTGCTGTTGATTTGATTATTTTAAGTTTGATATATGACATATCAAAAGAATTGTTCTATTTGATCTTTTTCTCTCTCTGTTTGGTATCTACAGCAGCAATTGAAATTCAAAACCTTATTCAACAATCTTAACACCTCTACAGATCTAATTTCAATTTGTTAAGGGACGACACGTCATTTTGTCTGGTTAATGTAGAAGAAAAAAAGGAAAGAAACCTGGCTTGCCTTGGGCACTCTGATTTGCTGTGAAATATCGAATCTTACGAGATTTCTATTATGTAGTTACTATGACACTTTATAAGTATAGCAAAGTTCCTTTTTTATATTTCTCTATAGATCGAGATCACGGAAAAAATACTAACAACCGCCCGGTTATCCCAAGATTAGTTATTAACGGTTTATAACTTTTTCACCAACGGTTTCTTGCCGATGCCAGATCTAACACGCGATTTCAACGGTTTTGCTTCTTCTCAGCAGAGGTAGTCGTTTCGATGGTTCTAGTCGCCTTATTCAGTGAAATAACCGGGTAAAAATGCTTGAAGAACCGTCGCGCTACATTCACCGCTTCATTTTGCAGCCGTCACTGTTATATAATAAAACTTAGTTAAAAGCAACAAGTTTAATCTTTTTTCTCAAACTACTCTTCAAAGTGTGAACATTGACTAGAGTCAACAAAGGTACTTTGTCATACGATGAATCGTCAGACGTCAACGGCTTCGTGCTAGTACTGCTGAATGAGGCATCTGTGTTATTATTAATGCTTATTTCCATGACAAAAATGCGGCCGTCGGCAGTTTTCAGGAGAAAAAAAACGTTTATGATTCGGTCAGAACCGTTTTATTTTCAAAAGCTCAATCGAAAAATCAACCGGTTCAAGGCGGTTTTCGACAGAAAAATCGGATATTTTGTCACAAATCGTCAGGTTTAACAGGTTTCTTCCTGGTGAATATATAGTGTAGAACTGTTTCTTCGCCAGTTTTCTACGACGCCATACGTGTCCGGGCTTGCTGTGAATTAACGTGAATCACATGACAGATATAGATTCCAACCAATTACCCAGTACCAATTTTTATTTCGTAAATGAGCAGCGTCTGTGGGACATGAATTTTTTATCACAAACACTTTTAGATACAGATGACCACGCACATGTGATCAACACCTTTAACATTATTCATTTCTCAACCAATGTGTAATAATGAAATTTTTTCTTTTTTAGAAGCTGCTGCAGTAATGTGTCTATGCGCAAATTCTGATGTAATGTATTTTTACTTATTGAGGTTGACAGTGAAATGTTTTTTGCTGCACTGATTTTCGAACTAGGATTAGACTACTGTTTCGTGAATTATATTCGAATTTGACAACTCGTGGATATATACAATTCTTTTTTCTTTTTTGTTAAATTTTCATTTTCTTCAACTCTTCATGCAATGTTTGGTAGTGTTCGTTCGAGTGTTTTCTTCAACATATCTGTTGAAAAAAATCAAACCGTTTAATATTAGAATTTAAAATAACATTTGGACGAGCCTTTTTCTTTCGTTTTGTTTGTGTTTTATTGTGTTGTCAGTACTGTTCCATGTAATATAGATAGTCAAGTAAAATGAATAAATGGAAACTGCTTATGCCATTTTCTGATACTCCTTTACGGCTCACTTCTATCAAATATTTAGTCTGTCTCAAGCTTGATTATAACTGTTAAGTAGAATAACTATTAAGTCTCTCGCAGTATTACTTGCAAAATTCTGTACGTGTTGTGGTTTAAACATCTATAATCAAACGTTATTCAAGAAGTATAGGAGATCATTTTGTTTTGAAATGCATGATAATTGTCTACTCTCTTGTTTTTCTTTTTCCAATAAATAGCTTTCAATAGTTAAAATACTAAACAGATCTTGTCTGTAACAATATTTCTTAAATAATAACAAAATGAACCGTTTTGAGATGTATATCTTGTATGTTCTCAGGCTACAAAAGACTATCCACCATAAATGTTTATCTCGAAAATCTGCCATTTGTCATGAAAGTACTGAATATAGAAGTGCAGTTTAGAAAATTCGTACATGTGATGTTTGTGCAAAAGTCCGCATACATAATCTGGAGTTATAACGAAAATACTAATAAAAAATTGGGAGCAATTGCTGATAAGTTTAGAAAGTAATCATCAACTATAACGTTAAAACAACACGTTTTGGAATAAAACATTAGTTTATTATAACTACGGGGTGTGACTTCTTCCTTTCTCTCTCTATCTGAGTCGTTCTGTATCCTCCAGTTCTTCAGCTATTTGTTGTAATCCATGTAATTATAATACTCCACATATATTTGCTCCTTTTTTTGTTCTTATCACCTTTTACATGTCTCTGTGCTTCTGCAGTTTAATCTGGGGTTAAAAAACCATTACAATCAGATCAAAATTTCTTTTCCAGATGAAATTTGAAACAATGAGATAAATGTGAAATATAGATGTATGCCGGATACAGCCATGATGTAACTCCAAAATCGTCAGATTAGAGTCATTAATTAGAATTTCAATATTTATTGCATAGTTACTCGAGTTCTATCCAAATATTAGTTTACTTATGCATACACTTGTAGACAACGTGATATACTAGCATTTAAGGTTACCCATGTAGGCTGTCATCATTCTTCATCTTTCAGCGTTCATTGAAAATGGAATTTATTCCGATCCTGTTGATTGTTACGTCTATCATACCCGCTACGATACGGTTCATAAGAAATAGTTACTCATTCTTGTACTACAATAATGACTTTTAGCTTGTTATCAGGAGATTTGAAATAGGACATTTGACGACAAGAACAAATGATAAAGCAACACAATAGCATTTAAGTACACTGATCTTGACGAAAAGTTTGATATCAGGTTACGAAAAGATGAGATGGAGTTTTACCAGAACTAAGAATAAAACGATGTCTTAAAGAGGTAGTTGACACTTATTTTTGATTACTACCAGATTCTAACACGATCATCCAGCCAATAGAAGCTGATCACGAATCGCCTTGCTTGATGCACAGAGGACTGGATGCCAAGCTATACCGTCTGATTCACAGGATGCTAGATTGGCCCTAGCAACGAACTGGTTTTAGCGTCTAGTAGTTACGAATACGCTTCTCTGGAAGTCCAAGCGTGAATGTTTTCTACACATACGGTAAACGTTACCTTATCGGTAAAACTCGCAGGCGTACCTTAAAAGACATCAATCTTTCTGTTTATAAAACAAAATTGTTACGACAAAAAAAGTGTCTTGTTTACTCAAGTAAAAGAAAACTTAAATTAAATTAATTTGGCTTAATATTTGCCGACAATGTATCGGTTGTAACATTCGGATTATTAGCAGCTGCTGCATCATTACAATTCCCACGTGTGAGGCTGTATTCACCATTATTCATCATACCACCAACAGTCTGATTTGACGACGGTTGTGATGCTTCACCAACTGAACTCCATTTCGATGACATATTGTCAGCTGACGTAACAACAGTTGGATTACTGGGCGAATAGCCGTCACCTTTATGTACTAAATATTGATTACCACCTTCTGTTGTAACTAAATTACCACTGTGTGTAGCACCTGGTACATTTGAACCACTACCAGCAGATGAACCACTTGATGAATCCATTGGGCGTTGTACGGCTTGTACTGATTCAACTTTTTCATTCATAATACTTGTTGTTGCTTCAGTCATTACTGCTGTCGTCTGTGTATTGAATAAAACTTGAGTTTCGTTTCGTGTTTTGTTAGATTTGGATTTTTTAAACTAAAAATGAGAGTGAAGTAAATTATTTTATAGTGTATTTACTTCCTATGCTAGGAAAAATATTACGCAAAACAAATAAATATTTTGTTGCACAGCTCAAATATATACCATTGCTTATCGAAGGAAAAAACAAACATAATTTTTTCTATAATCTATTAGTCATATCTACAGTTCCTTTTTCTTTTTCCATTTTCCTTTTAATACAAGAGTAATTAAAATAGATGAAAAATGAAAATTTAACAAAAAAGAAAAAGGAATTGTATATATTCAAGAGTTGTGTATTTATTTATTTGACAACTCTTGGATGCGTAATATTTTTCCTAGCATAGGAAGTAAATACACTATAAA